GTTTGTGAGAGGAGTTTGGAAAAATTTGGAAATGCAAGCTAGAGAATGATGAAAATGGAGCTTGATGAGTGACTCTAGTAGAGCTGAGAATATCAGAATGATGATAGGAATGGGGGGAGTAAAAGCCAGGCTTATAAAGCTTCAGATTGGAATGAGGAATCAATTGGGAATTGAAATAGAAGCTACACCTATTTTGGTATCTTAGCCAACATTTTGTCTATACCTTAAAACTTTGGGTTGAGCTGAATTTAAAGAAAGTGAAAATTGATCTGGCAGAGGAAATTTTATGGCAACCTAATGTTCGGGCTGTGGGTTGGGCACTGGTAGTTATTGTATCCATGGTACAAAAAGGCCTGGCTACTTCTTTGGCTAGCAGAAAAACTCTATCATTCATGTGATGCTGGTTATTAAAACATTCAGAATATAAGAGCTATGGAGTCACAAAGGCTTCCACTGACTTCAAAGGACAGGTTTGGGGGGCACCCAAGTGTTACAGCCAGTGTTACAAGTCCACTGCTGGGAGCCCCGTAGCATGTGCTATGTAACTGGATTGAGGTTGAAGCTGCACTGGAGACTCTAGGGAGATGAAGATGCCAGGAGGGAGGAGTGTCCAGCAAGGAAAGCCACAGACAGCAAGTAGTCACCCTAAGAGAAAGCCTATGCAGGCTGCAGTGAGCAAAGTCAGAGGTATGAGGCTGTCCAAGCACCATGAGATTCATATCTTATACCATGTGCTCAATTGCTAGGTATAGAGATCCAGGAGTTAATGTATCCCCTACTGAATTTTGTTCTTGCTTTTGTTTGATACTTTTCTATTTTCCTATTCTTTGCTATTGTCTGATTCTTTTAATTTCCCTATTATTTTACCCCATACTGGTGTATCTTGAGAACATGTAACTTGCTTTTTGAATTTTATAGGAGTTCACAGCTGAAAGTTTGCCTTCAATATCAAAGGAGACTGGACTTGGATTTTTGAGAAATAATGGAACTGTTGAAATTTTAGGGGAAAAGTAGGTATGGTAGTAAAAGCACATGAGTAATCCCAGTGCTCAGGAGGATCACTGCAAGTTCAAGGCCAGTCTTAGCTACATAGTGAGTTCAAAGCCAGCCTGAACTGCATAGAGAGACCCTGTCACAAACAAGCAAACTAACTGTAGGGGGAGAATCAGAGCATTTTTCAATTGTCAAAAAGACAATTATATAATCTTACACAGACTTATGTCCTTTGCCCCAAGATTAAGTAGAGCAGAGGATGTGATTAAATATTAAGTTGATGTGGAGTGAACTTGTGATAGTCAATCTCAATTGTCACCTTGACTGGCTTAGCGAACTCCTGGAGAGTTTATTGCATTGTGAAGGCACTAACTTTATTAATGAGTTAATTCATTGGTAAGTTCATAGCTGAATGGGCTGTTAGGAGATAAGGCCTCCTTGGAGCAGGTGTGTCATCAAGGTGAACTTGAGGACTGTGTCTGATTCCTAGCCCCTTCCTGTTTGGTGTTTCCCTAGCTATCTGGTTTTCCCCAGATACCATAAACTGAGCATCTCCTCTCTGCCAAACCCTTGCATGCTGATGTTTCTGCATTGGAGCCAGACAGCCATGGACTGAAACCTCTGAATCTGTGCACCAGTAATAAACTTCTTTAAACTGCAGTGTCCAGGGAAACTGCTCCACACAGCTACCATCATTCTCTACTCTCTTCAACTATTTCTTTTTTATATCTTTATTAGCATACTCTTAGATTTTATGAGACATATTAATTTACCTTGATGTGAAACACTGAAGAATTATGCATTTGTTCAGAGCAGAATTTATAATAATTAACATGGTACTGGTGTCTTACACGAGTGGTGTTCCAATAAATACAGATCACATCACATAGAAAATGTATTTTAAAGCTTGTATTAAATATAAGCCTACTGATCAGTTTGTCTTGAGTGTATCCATATGCAGTGTAAAAGTACTGTGGTGTGATCTCTTGAAAAATTATCTGGCACATTTGATATTTCATGTTTTGGGTTTATATTTTCAATGTCAAAATGTAGATCATAGCTTGATTTCTATGCTGGATAATCTATAATTAAGTATCCAAAGATACAAACTCATAGAAGGATTGATTTGGAAAGGCTTTCAGATATAATATATTTTAATCATCTCATTTTATAGCTGAAGAAACTAAGATCAAATAAAGGCACTTTGTAGATCATAAAAATTATACAAATAATATGGGCAAATACAGCTTTTTGAAGTATTGAAATCACTGAATAGGCAAAACATTTTTGGTAGTGTTTCTTTGAGATTGTATCATTCAGAGGGCTATTGATTAGTATGACTAATAAATAGTTATCTCCCCTACACAGTTCTAAACAGTACAATGTTAGCCATTTTTCTCTCATCATTTGATTTCCTAGTGCATGGTGTCTGCCAGAGATTAAATAATAGATCTAATAAATATTTTAAATTATTGATTATTTTGCTTTTGATGCACAATGCTTTATATCAATATGTATGATTAAAAATGCCTACTGCTGCAAAACAAAGAAACCTGAGACTTGCTATGCACTTTGCATGTTTCTCTGTGATGTTTCTTCACATAAGGGAGAACATGGCTAGGAAAGCTGTGATTTACAAAAATGCCAAAGTTTGCACCGGCTATGAAGAGGACATTGAATCTATTTTTATTAGGTGAGGCAAAAAGAGTTGGAAACCTGGAATGAATAAATATTAAAGAAATTTCCAAAACCTTTTACCTCCAGGAGACTACCACCCTGGACTACATGGATCTCTTCTAGAATATCTTCCTTCATCAGCACAGATGACTTTAAAACAATTGGTTATATTGTAAGAATGTGCAAAAGGCTGTGACTAATAAACTGTGAATTATAAACTTTGTAAACATTAATGAGGCAAGGGAAGAATGACATAGGGATGAGCAACACAACACTGAACTTTTATATGACTGATTTAAAAATATTTCTTACATACTGTGTTGCAATAATACCTTATGACATGTATTGTTTTTGATAGTTTTTCATATATTGAAGGAAAACAAAATTCAAAAAAATTAAGAAACTTGAAATTAAGAACTCTTGAGTTTTAACCCCAGCCTGATAATTACAGGTGGGCACCATGCAGTGATATTTCAGACAATGAGAAGACACATAGGATAGGGTCCCCTAAGGTTATATGCTCAGAGACTTATAGCTGTCTTAGTTTGTGTGAATAAACTCTGTAAGGTTCCACAATGAAAATCTTGATTTACTAGCAGTGCATTTCTCAGAACTATCACCATCATTAAATGGAGCATGACTATATTTCTTATGGAAGGGACAGGGAACAGACCGTGTCTAATAGAACTATGCAAAAAGGGCCATGGGGAAACTATGAAAACATGAAATAGTTGAGGAAACACTAGCTGCTTTAAAATGTTAATATGTGAAGAAACAATCAAGTCATGAACAACATTTTAAAATATTAAAGTTATTTTTTCCTGTATGACCCACTCCTAAGTAAAGACTTATCTGGGTGGGGCAGAGGATAAAGAAGCTTGGAGAACATGAAAGTATTTGAGGAATATCACAGACACTTATAAAAGTGTGCTGTGTTGTGAGGCTGAGTTCCTTTCGATAACCTTGCATCTGTTATGAAATCTTCATGTTATAAAATGAATTGAATTTTGATAAAAATACTTTTTGATAAATTGTTTATAATATGATCTTTTAAAATTAAAAGTATTTGAATCAGGTACAATAGGAGCGAAATTGAAAAAGTGAAAATAAAGGAAGATAAGTCGAATTTCAGAAAAAGTCTGGGTTTAAATCCCTTGGAATCTGAGAGGAAATGGCCATGGGACTCCTGGCAGACATGCAAATCTGAATATACTCAAGTGCTCTGTATAAAAGAGCCTGATATTTGTATATAACCTACCTCCACACTTTATAACACCTCTTAATTACTTATAACACCTTACACAACTCAAGTGCTGTGTAAATAAATAACTCTATTGTTTAAGGAATATGACAAAGAAAAGAGTCTGAATACATTTTCCATCCACATGTGGTTGAATCTGTGAAGGCAGAATCTGCAGACACAGAAGAGCAATTCTATATCTACTGATTTCAAAGACTTGTGATTTTAATTCTTTGCAGAGAACTTTAGTGGCTTACACAGGGCATGAGCTTGTTAAGCAAGTTTTTCTAGAACATTAGAAATAGAACTTGAGGGTAAGAAACAACCATGTAGCTCATGCCAACTTGGTGATGTAGGACTTTGGATATATTTTCAAGCTTTTCCACTTTTCCATCATAGTAAAAAGGCATTTATACCTTCATTTATAGCTCTGCAGAGAACATAAAATGATATCAGATGACAACAAATTAGTTTTAAAAAGTTCTTTGCAGCAAGCTACCCAGTATTTCCAAGAATTAGCTTTCCTTGAGTGTTTTCTCATTTACCCTGTTCTTTTTGTCATCTAGTTCTTCTCCTGGTAGTAGACCTTGCTCTCAATCCACACACACATTTTCTCTTACTCTTATGGCATGTAGTACACAATTTAGATAGAATAATTGACCAGTTAGCTCTGTCATTCAAAAGAAAGACTTCTGATTTAGTCTGAATCTCATTTTACAGGTAAGAACGCCCATGGCTTATGGGATTTAGTCAAGTTTCCACTGCAGTGAGTTAGCAGCATTATGGTTAGGACATTTTCCATGGTCCATGAGGTCGAGTAAGCTTATCATATAAATCCTGGAAATCTTTGCTCCAGGAAATGGAATTAGTACACAAATGATATCTGCTCTTAATGTTTGAACAACAACTGTGAAATATGTGCAGTTCCAACTACACAGGGACTTATCAGTTTTTATGCTATCTCTTCTGCTGATTAAATACAGTAGGGAGATCTGAGGCTGTTAAATCTAGAGTAATGATAATAATAAAACAGTAAGTTATTTGTAATTTGACAAATGCTTCGTTGTGTTTAAAATTTAGTCTCTGGACAATGGAAAACAAGCTGGATGTGTTCAGGAGAGAGTTAGTGGATGTGCAGGGTGTCCCCCTCTTCTGGAGCATTGCTGAGAAGTGGGCTCAGGTGCAGTCGTTTGAGGCCTGGCCCGATGACCTGCTGATCTCCACCTACCCCAAGTCTGGTAAGCCCTTTCCACAAGACATCCTAACTGATCAAACAATTATCTACCTGGAGAAGCCAGCTGCTGAGCACATTGCTAGTCAAGTCTAAGCCTGGTTCATGGAATAGTTTTCAAAAGGAACATTGTGGTAGTTTGCTGGGATGGTTTTATCTTAGACAAATTCACTTCCCATTCTGAAATGCCAGGCACTGGATGAAGAATGTATCTGAGAGAAAAGTAATGTTGCTTCATTTTCCTTTTTAAATGCAGATAAAATTATTAAAATTATATATTGTAATTTTGGTACATATATTCTAGAATATACATAAAATATATAAGGTATACATATTAAGTTTTACTATATGTTAACATATAGTAAAATATTTAGAGTACATGCTTTTTAGTTTTTAAATGTTTTATTTATAAAATTAACTGCTGACTTCAGTTTATATTAAAAAGAATTTAAAATAACTGAAAGAGGGTAAGCAATTTTTATTTCTTCAGATTACTCATGAGAATCTTCTGTTTTAGCCAGTGATAAGATAGATAAGGAGGGATAAGACTCTCTTCCAAATAATTATCCAAGTAATTTACTTCAGTACATAATTTACCACTTGTTCTAATTAATAAAAATTCTAAAATCAATTTCTCTTACATTTCTGACTCATTCCTTAAAGGAAGAAGCTTTTTGTAAGTATATTGGTTGCTAATCTTTTCATATAACAATTATCAAAATTATTTCAAAGTAATAAGCAACAGTTCTAGGAAGTAAACATTGAATTTTGAGTGTTCTATGCCAAAGTGATGAGTTGACAGTCTTCAAGGTAACTGTCTCTTTACTCGAAATAAATTATGTGCTTTGTTCTTTCTTTTTTTCAAATATCATGATAAACAAACTTTTACATTACCAAGAATACAAAATAGCCAAATTAGTATTTCTTTCAATCAAATTTTGTGGGCCACAATTTGAACCATTTACTAATAGGAGATAAAATGTGTCACATTTAGGTTTCTTTGGTGTTCAGAATCTCTCTCTCTCTCTTTCATCTCCATTTCTTCTCTCTTAAAAGAATGAATCGTATCTTAAACCCAAAATAGACAAGGAAACAAAAAGTTCAAGGATAGTATTGGATCAACTTACCCTTTTATTTAGTATTACTGTTGTCTGTGATAGGATAGAGATTACTAAATTTTAGGGATAATAAGCTATGTGTGAATTAATTAACTGACTGACTGACTTTAATTCTTTGCTGCCACCCATAACTATCCAATTTAGGGATTGCTAAACCCCTTTGCTAAGAGGAAGCAATGAGAACAGTTAGATATTTTCCTTCTGTTTCTTAAATTTTGTTTTTGCCAGTGTCTCAGTAACTTGATAATTGAATGACACAGGAAATTCAGTAGATCATACACTTTAGTTCCACTTCTCAAAAGACCATTGAGATACATTACCATAAAAGTCAGAGTGGCTTGATTCACTCTGTTCACTTAAGATCTATTGTCTTCTGTGTGCGAGTGGCACATTGGTCACAACAATTGAAGAAAATCAAAGTTCTGTTTCCTTTTTTCACCTCTCCACTAAATATTGAACATTTTTACCTGAGATTCTCTTGAATACAAAGACAATAATCTTTCTTGATATTAATAGGAAATATATGAAGTAATAATATCTTTGAAATTGGCTGCTTCCCCTTTCCTTTCAGCCAGGCAGGTGTGCTGTCACTACTTATGTACCACTCTCTGGTACACCTTGTTTTACTTTTGAAATCTTACTTATATGTATAATTTGATCAAATTTTACACGCATGCAGTACATATATCTTTGTTCAATATAGGTAAAGATGTCTTCCTGAAGAGAGGGAAAGTGAATTAAACTAAAGAACATATTTTTATTTTACATATTACACTTTCTTTTTTTGCCTGTATGACCCTCTCAATTTTTTTGAATGGAAAGTTTAGAGTTTCTTCCATTGTTTTCTTAGGAACAACTTGGATCAGTGAAATACTGGACTTGATCTATAACAATGGAGATGCAGAGAAATGTCACCGGGATGCAATATACAAGCGTGTGCCCTTCATGGAGCTTATCATTCCTGGATTTTCAAATGGTATTTTTTCAGAATGTTCATTTTGCTACAGAAGTAAATCCACTTATTGTGTGAGAGGGAGAAGAGCTATGTGTGAAAATGATATGGAAACTGCTTAGAGAGTTAAGTGTCTATAAGTGTCTTCAACAGAAGAGAATTTTGCTATGCTGGTAACTTACTGCCATCCATAATTATTCTTTCTCTAGCCAGATAAAATCTGCTTAAGAGAAAATTTGATGTAGCATAGTTTGTCTAATATGTGGAAGTCGTCAAGATTTAAATAGTGTGTCATTATTATATAAAGCAAATCCACTGTTTGAGCCAACATAGAATGTATGTATTGTTAATTAGCTGAAAAAGATTATGTAAATAGATGGTCTTTTTACATATTTAAAAAATAGCCATGAGACTCATGGAACAATTTGATCATAGAAGTTGAGTAGCAGAGACTTGGCAAGGAATTTTGGAATTCTTCAGTTAGATTTTTTTCACATTGTAAATGAAGAAAAGGGAAAGACAGATGAAGGCAAAGCCTGTACATCTTGAAGCAGCTCACTGCTGCTTCTCTGCTATCAAAGTGTTACATATGAAGATTGTATAGACACTTATGAAAATAATTATCCTATTCTACTCATGGGCAAGAGGCTTTCTTATGAGCTAGGATCTTAAAAGTTTTATCTCATTGGAGATTTTATAAACATATAAAGTCAAAATGCCATATGACCATATATCAAACCATTAACAGGATTAATTCTATACTTTGTTAATTTTTATACCTGTAGGTCTTGAACAATTGAAAAACATGCCATCTCCTCGATTAGTGAAAACACACTTACCTGTTCAACTTCTCCCTTCTTCATTTTGGAAATATGACTGCAAGGTAAAAAATTTTAAAGAAAATTAATCCTTACTTGGGTGGGTTGTAATCTATTTTCATCACTTATGAAAAACACAAGACTGGGAATTGCAGCCCTTGGGTAAGTCATTGCTAAAAATACAAATTTAACCCCTAAATCTCAGTAATCAGAACATAACAGTGAACCCCAGTGACATAGATAGGGATTAGAGCCCACACCTAAGTCCTGAGACCTCATCATTCTAAAACCTTTCTCTCGCTGCTCAGCTACTTTTAAACAATTGATATTCAAATAATACTAGAACTGCTTCTTCATGCTTCAGAAAAATTGTACGTACAAATACAGATTTACAATTATATAACCCTACAAATGAATTCACAAATATTAATAATTACATACAATTTATACATTACAAATATATAAACATTTAATACTATATATGAACTTTATATAAATCATAGCATAACTATATAACAATTATATATAATATATATATTTTTTTCATGTATTCATTTTAATCTTCTGCCTTAACATACATTTATATTCAAAGAAAACATTGAGCAATCATAGTACAAAAATTCTAAGTGTGATGCTTGGTGAATTTTCACATAGTGGACATAGCCATGAACGGGGACTTAGGTCAACAGGGTGAAGATCAAACAGGAGAAAACCCCAAAAGCTGTTCTTCTGCACACTTTCAGTCATTAACCTTCATCTCTGGAGATAACCATGATCCTGAATGTTTTCAGCACTTGCTTGTTTTTCCTGTAATTATAAATTACTCCAGAATAGTAATCTTATTTCATTAAACATAATATTTTTAAAAGCTATTCCTTTTTTTTACTTTTTGGGGGAAATATTACAAAAAATATAATCGCTGTCATTCCAAAATCAGAAGAAAGTGTCTTTATAGATATCTGCTTTCACAGGCTACATTCAGATCTACTCAACTAGAAATTATGGGAGTGGGGCCCCAAAGTCTCAGCTTTAACATGAGCCCTCATGAATGGGACTTATGCTAAAGTTTGAGAACCAATAGTGTGAGGCATTGTGTGTGCATGAATATTCAACAATTAATCCAAAGTAGTGGATGGACAGTTGAATTGTTGCCAATTGTAAAAAAAACCTGCTGCTGTGCATATTCTTATAATGTCTTTTATTGTACAAATGCATATTTTTCTCTTGGCTATATAACATGGGATAAAATGGTTGGATTTTAAGATATGTATGTTAACTTAGAAGACATTTTCCAATAGCTTTTTTAAAGCTATTGGATAAAATTGCTGGATTTTAAAACATGTACATTAAACTCAGCAGACATTTTCTAATAGCTTTTAAAACCATATGCACTAATTTACATTTTGACCAGCCAATGAAATTGGTTAACATCCCCATTAACATAATATACAGATAAAATATTTAAGTCAAGCCACATACAAATGTATATCTGGGGACATCTTATGACTTTCCTTTTTATTTCCCTAATGTCTAAGTAGGTGAAACTTCTTTATATTTTATATTATATTATATTATATTATATTATACTTTTTTGGTTACCTGTTCATGTCTTTAGCCTCTTTTTTTGCCTATAGGGGCTTCATTCTATTCATTATTATTAAGTTGGAAACTCTGTATAAATCTTTTGATGAGATAATTGTATCTCTTTATATCTTGTGAACTCACAGTATGTGGGTTTCTTTTTTTGCTTTCTTTATATCTGTTAAAGAAGTTCTTAATTTTGAGGTAACTGAATGTATCATAAAGATATTCTCCCATTTGTTTACTTCTAGAGGCTTTATTACCCCAACATTTAGATCTAAATATCTGCTTAATATCCATAACAGAAATAGCTAGGTTCTTTTTTTTATAAAAATTTGATAAAATGGTCATACTGTTTCTGTCTTATACACACAGAAGTAATCATATACATATATTTTCATCTAGAGTTTATTACTAGTATACAAATATAGAATTTATTTTTGTATTTTAATCTTTAATTTTTTTTTTTACTTTTATTAGTACATGTTTGTGGTATATGATTACATTCATTGTAGAAAATTGGTACATGTATATAACACATTTCAATTCTTTTTTCCCCTTCCCTTCATCTCATTTTTATTTTCCAGCATCAGATTCATTAATTTATCTTATAACACCTTATATAGTTAATTATCATATGTACAGATTAAAAATCAGACTAATAGATCAAAGAGTATAAAAAATGTCAAATAATTGTATTAAGTCAAGGTAGTCTTTTAGGTACATTGTCTTGCCTCAATTACAGTATTTTTGTTTTCCTCCCTTTCTCTTTTATCCTATTATCTGTCTTTTATTTCATACTTTATTTTTAAATTTTTCATACAAGTGAAACAATGTGATATTTAAGTTTGTGTGTCTGAGTTACTTTACTTAATATTATGGTCTCAAGGTGAATCCATTTTCCTACAAAATGACTGAAGTTTATCTTTCTTTATTTTGATCTGTTATTTTGCAAACATGCTAGAGGAATTTAATGTATCTCATAGCTTTTTTTGTAGATTCCATTCAATTTTCTGTATAGCTATTTATGTTACCAGCAAATAAAAATGTTCTATCTTACTTTTTCTAATCTGGCTACATTTTATTTCTTGTTTTATTGAATGGATAGAAATTTAATATATTACTGAACAAGTTTGATTGGAAAAGATGTCTTACTCTTGATCTTAGAGAAAAGTCATTCAGTATTTCACTATTAAATATGAAAGTGTTATCTATTTTTTGAGTTTTTTTATCTGATTAGGAAGTTTCCTACTCTTCTTAGTATGCTAAGTTTTTATCAGGAGTGCATTTTTAAAAATCAGAGATGTTTTATCTCTATTAAGACCTATCAAATACTATTGTATTATTTTTGTCTGTTGATTTGATGAATTTTCAGATGTCAAAACAACTTTACATACCTTCATTTAGTCAGAATGAATTGTCTTTTTGTATATTGTTGAGTTTGATTTGTTAACTTTAAAAAATGCATTATAGATAGTGAAAGATATTGAATTATAGTTTTGTTTTGCCAGAACATAACGTCTTTGGTGTTAGAGAAATACTGGCCTGATAAGATGAATTTGGAAACACTTATTCCTTTTCAGTTTTCTGAAAGTTTTCAGATGGAATTGGCATCATTTTATTCTTAAATATTTTTGTATAATTCATCAGTGAAGTCATGTGGACCTGCAATTTTCCTTGTCTGGAAAGTTTGTTGTATTTTAACTACAAATTCAATTTATTTAATAGAAATAGGATTAACTTGTGTATCCTTCCTTGCAAGATCTATGTTACTTTGTGTTTCTTAAGTAATCAACTATAACGCTTAAACTAGCAATTTTTGGAGCACAGTTTTCACAATATCCTTTTAATATTTATGTAATGTGCAGATGTTGCTTTTCTAATTCTTCATATTTTTCTGTCAGTCATTTAGAGAAGTGTAATAAATCTATAATACTTTCTTCATTTTTTTCCTTGCAATTCTACCTATTTCCAATTCTCATAAACAAGTCATTGAATATGTGTGTAATCCGGAAATAGTTATTGAAATTTTATCATGTATGTACCCTATATTTTAGTTGGCATTATAAACAGTAAAAAGGAAAATATATTCTTTGATATCTAAAACCATTCAATTTCATCTAATTTTTACAAATGCTGATGAGTTTCTCTGCATGCCAGTCATCTTTTAAACATTTTCTAACCTGAACAGTTTCTTAAAAGACTTCACCTTTGCTTAATTGTGTTTTGTGCTGTGGAATGAACCCAGGGCCTTCTTCTGAACTGCATCCTCAGGGTTTAATTTAATTTAATTTTATTTTTAGCTTTAATAAGTGATACAGACACAATTCTAAATTTAAGGATAACTTCAGTCACTTTATTTAATATTTACTATAATTCTTATTCTCATTGTTTTTCTATGTTTCAAGAGATGTTCTTTTCAAAGGCTGACAGCGAGAGCAAATATGAGAGATAAAAGAACTTTTTGTATTAAAATAATATATACTTGTGAATATACTGCCAGGATATTGATATACATGACAAGATCAAGAAATATAGAAAAGAAAATATAGATTCTAACACTGTGAGCAAACATTTAAAAACTATTAATGAATTTTTTAAATGGTGGTTTCCCTTATCTCCCTATAGATGATCTATGTGGCAAGGAATGCCAAAGACGTGGCTGTATCTTACTACTATTTCCACCAGATGGCAAAAATGCATCCAGAGCCTGGCACCTGGGAAGAATTCCTAGATAAATTTATGGCCGGGAAGGGTGGGTCCAACTTTTCCTTGAATCATGGTGCTCAAAACTGAGAAGACTTTTTGTACAATAGATCTGTATAAATATAATAATAAATATATAAATATTGTGTTTATTATAACTTAGTTTACCCAGCAGTCTACTAGTGCATTAGAAAGACAATGGAGGAAGCAGAATGCATATAGCATCTTTGCCCTCAAAAGATCTGTAGAGAATTTGTGACACAGATTTCCTAGTTCCTAGTTCCCTTGTTTCATTAGTGACTAGAGACTACTGTCAATTAATATAAGTGCTTTTGTCTCTTGTTGGCCATGCTATCACACTGCTTTTATTTTATAAACACATTTCTTGGACATTTTTTCTCCACTACTTCTTCATTTTTTATTGTATAAACTATGAATATTCTTAAGTAAAAAATTGTCTTTAACATTCTGTTCTTCTGAGGTATTCTCTTTTTATCAGGGGAACATTCATTGTCATTATTGTAATTTGACAAATAATTCTCATAACAATCTTTTTGTATGATTTCTCTATTTGTGGCAAATATAACTCAATGGTATCTTGCATAGATTTACTCCTGCCATTGCTTGGCCCATTCCTTGTATTTAGCGTGTGATCTCTGTTAGTATCATTATCAAAGCCAGACTCTTCCTCTTAGACCTAAACATACTTTACTTCCTCCACAGGCCTTTCTTAACTTCTTCATTCAGATGACTCTCCTTCTCCCCTTCTCCTATAACCTGCCATATCTCTTATGATCTGCATTACTCAGTATCTGCCACCTTGCTCTCATACTTTGAATTTTAGTTATAGAAATTATATTAATTTGCTGAGGTTAATGTAGCAGAGTCACAGTTGAGTGGCTTCAACAGCCAATATTTATTTTTTCACACTTCTGGAGGTGGTAAGTCTAAGAACAAAGTATCATCTGGGTTGTTCCTTCAGAAGGCTTTCTGATTGGCTTGTGGATGGCCATTTTCTCCCTGTGTCTTGCAATGGTTTTCCCTCTTTGTGTGTTTATATTCACTTTTCCTTTTCTTATAGGGACACTTATCAGACTGAGGACATTATCAGATCAAGGCCCTCCTTGGTACATAATTTTAAATTCCTTACTTCAAAGACCATATCCCCAACATAGACACATTCTGAGGTACTGGGAGTTAGCACTTCAACATAAGACTTTCTTGAAAACACAAATCAACCTATGAAAGAGTATTTTCCTTTCCAAATGGATTGTAAATTCAGAGAGGAAAGGGGTTACCTCATATATTTCTTTTATTCTTATTGCCATTCTTTCTTGAATTAATAAGTAATCAATATGTATATAGTGATAATTATGATTTAGAATGACATTTAAGGATCTTTCCTTCAAATAAATAGTTGTAATTTCACAGATATTTTATCTTTAAATTTAGTGAGTTTTGGTTCCTGGTATGACCATGTGAAGGGCTGGTGGGAGAAAAGGAAAGATTATCGTATCCTTTACCTGTTTTATGAAGACATGAAAGAGGTAAGAGGTAACTGCAGCTTCTTCTTCTGAAAGAGACTTTAGAATCATCTTCTTTGCATCTTGTTTTTTTTTTCTCCTGGGTCTATAAAATGTGACAAGTCTCCTTTCCTTTAAATTCTGCTTTAAAATTAGATCTTTTACTCAGACAGTTCTTTCTATTATGGCTTCATCTCAGTCTAGGTCAAGCATCTGCTTTGATCTGTGCTCCTTCATCTTGCTTGTATTATCCACTCTGGGAAAATGACCTTTTAGAAACAAGAAACCAGTGTATTTCCTCTTCTTTCCCCAAATGTCTCAGTGGACGATATCCCTACATGAAATTTAAATTAGCAGTATAGTTTAGAGCAATTGGCATTAGATTGTTTAGCTCTCCCTCATCTTGTTCCACCTTTCCTTTTTCCACTGAGTCAACATGAAACATAATGACTACCTTTCTCATCACTAAGGTATGAGAAATTCAGTGAGCCATACTGGCATTAAAAATGGAAGCCTGTAGCAGGTAAAACTGTAACTCTGGCTTATTTACCTCCATTTGATCAGGGTCCAGAAGGCCTAACAGCCTCATCTTGCTGCTATAGGTTTCTATAAATTCATTTAAGATGTCTAAGACTTCATTTACAAATTTGAAAAATCAGTCTACATCTGTAAGGAAAACTTCTTTGGGATTCCTTGGCCAAATCTGCAACTTCTTGTGTATTTTATCACAACCACTTTGTAGAAGGCACTGAATTATGGAGGGATAATGTCCAATTAAAGGACCAGTAAGAAACAAAGAGGAGCTGGATGTGGGTCTTTAAGAAGATTCACATTACTGCATCCTAAAAGAAAATTTCAGTACTTTAGGTCAAAAGGTCTTATAAGTAAGGGAAGATTAGTTTCCTTAGATATGGAAGGGGAATCTACGTCTGCTGAAAAAGAAAACTCAAGGTTACTTGGGGGTACAAAAGTGTTTGGGCATTCTACTCTTTTCTCATCTTTCTACCACTTGACCTTCAGACTGATTTAGCACAACTGTGAATTAACTCCTGTAAGTTTTTCCTCTTGCATTATTAGTATCTAATTTTCTTTTTCTTTTCTTTTTTTTTTTTTTTGGTGCAGGGATCGAACTTGGGTCCTTGCGCTTGTGCAGCAGATGGTGAAACCACTGAGCTAAATCCCCGGCCCAGTATCTTTTTTTTTGGTACCAGGTATTGAACTCGGGTCCTTGTGCTTGCACAGCAGGCAGCGAAACCACTGAGCTAAATCCCCAGCCCCCTAATTTTCAATAAATTGAGTCAGCTCAGTTGGTACAAGAAATAAATTATTCTAGGGTCAATATGGAAATAATCTGGCCCTGTTTCCATGAACAGAGATAGCTTATTCTGGAAAGCTAAATCTCAGATTGTCTTTCTGACTGATATCCCTGGGTCACAATGCTTATGACTTTCTGCCTCAGCTTGGTTTGGACCACTAAGAAGAATACTTTCCTAATGAGTACAGGACATAAACTCTTTGGGCTCATTCCTACCCTTTCTTCATTTCTAATATATCTTCTTATGCCTCTTCTGGAACACAGAAAAGGGAATCATGAGAAATGAATGATGAATGAATTATATCAAATGGATCTCTCCTCTTCATTGCTGCCTCCTTTTTCTTTAGGATAGGAAATGGATAGGATTTTGATTTTTTCCTTACCTCATCAAATATCCATATTATCAAAAATATATGTAGGTGTTAGAAGTGAAGTATTTTTCCACTATGAAGGGTTTTTTTGAGATAGATAATCCATTCATAATTGAAGACATGTTTAAAAATCAAGAGAATTAAAAAAATTATACCTAATTATAATGGTAGCTTGCTTTTTATGATCTGTTATTTCTCAAGTTAATTGCATTTTGAATGCAAAACATTAAATACTTTCCCAATCATTTTCTTTTTTCTTTTTGTAAAAGTTTTAATCTTACCTCACAGACAATTGCTTGGTATAATAAAGGAAAAGGATATATGCTTGAAAATGAAAAATAATATGAAAGTCCAAAAGTATCACTTCTACTATAATGACATATACAAAAGCTTTTTACATGCATTCACTTCTTTGCGATCAGTTCTTCCTGAAATGATTCTTTCTGCCTCTTCTTTTTAGGATCTCAGAAGTGAAATTCAAAAGTTATTAAAGTTTCTAGAGAAAGACATGCCAGAAGAAACTGTGAATAAAATCCTCTATCACAGTTCTTTTAATGTAATGAAGCAAAATCCTAATGCAAATTATACTACTTTGACAAAAGAAGAAATGGACCACTCGGTGTCTCCTTTCATGAGAAAGGGTGAGGTCATAGTCTGTTTGCTTCTGTAGTTTGCTGATCACACTATGGAGAGTGTAGATAATCACATACACTTGATGATGTTGGAAATTGGAAGAGATTGAATATTGTAGAGAGGGAAAAATTGAAAAGAGAACAAAGCAAAAAACTTCAAGGGAGATAATCCATGTCAAAATTAAATCTTTGCTACAAGTCTTTCAGGTAGGGCCAACCTTCCAGAAATAAATGTTTACTCAATAGCCTGTGCATGAATAAGCATGAATCTTGGCATCCACTGCTTTATCAGAAGCAGGCATTTCATTAACCTAAATTATCTAGGTCTACTGAAAAATCAAGAAAATTTAAATTTTTTTCTTAAACACATTGCCAGATGCTTATTGCCTATAACTGCTGCAGTTTTATGTGGCTTTCCCAGGGTCACTCCTTGTTTATTATCTTTTTGAAACCCAGGTGGAGAGAGGTGACTGTATGTGTGCTCTGCTGAATATCATGGTTGAGAGGACTGGTGGAAACTTGCAATGTCTTTTAAAGTTTATCTCAGATGTCGTTTATAACACACATGTTCAAATTGTGCTAGCCAAAGCAGATAAAAATCTGAGCCCAATAAAGCAAGGAAGTCACATAATACATGATGGGCAAGAATATAAAATCATCTCACAGTGAAGTAGAACATAAATAATTATTAACAATAATAAAAGATAAGACAATTTTGGAGAGAAAGGTGTTTTGGTGAGAGATAATCAACAATGTGAAGAGACAGTCTACAAAATAGGAGAAATTCTTCACTAGCTACACTTCTTATAAAGAATTAATACCTATAATATGTAAAGAATTCAAAAGACAACACCAAAAAATGCAAATTACTGATCATTAATTTTGTAAATAAATTGAACATATACTTCTCAAAATAAGAACATGGCCAGCAAATATCAGAAAGAATGTTTAACATCTTTAGCAATTAGGAAAATACTAATCAAAACTACACTGAGATTCCATCCCAACCCAATTGGAATGGCTACGCACACATTTAATAAATGCTGGTGTGGATGCAGGAAAAAAAATGAGCTCTCTGCACTACTACTGGAGATGAACAACCAAAAGGTTGCTCAAAAAATTAAAACTAGAGCTATGATTTGATCTAGCTCCACTATGCCTCAGTATATTTCCATAAGAATTAAAGTCAACATTTTTAGTGATACCTCCTTACTATGTTTATTGCAGAACAATTGACAATAGCTAAGCTATGGATGCCATGTAAGTTCCTGTCAACAGATGGATGAAGAAAAATGAAATAATATCATTATAGGAAAATGGATGAAACTGAAAATCATCAATCACTTATATCAAATAAGCCAGGCAGAAAGTGTCAAACATCACATGTTTTCTCTCATATATAGAATCAAAAAAGTGATGACAGGAAAATAAAGGGGAGACTATTAGAGAGTAAAAGGAGGTCAAGGGAAGGATAAGGCAAAATGAAGAAGGATATGTTATAGACATGTAGAACTATGCAAAAATAGAACCCAGTTTTCTGTATAGTTAACATACAGCAATGCAATTTAAAAATCTATTAGGACTAACTTTATTTATGGTGGATTTCCACTGGTATAGGAGAATTTTCATTTTTAGTATTTTAGGAAACATTTCATGGATAATTCTTCCTGGGAATATCTGGATCTCAACCAGGTATGATTTTGTGTCCCAAAGTATGACTATCTGGAGATATTTTTGATTGTTACAACCAGGGGAAGACTATTGGCATCTAATGGGTAGAGGTTTGAAAGGTTGATAAATGTCCTACAATATACAAGATTATAGATTAGCTAATATACCTCTTTTTCCCCCCAAAATTGTCTGGCTGTAAATGTCAATAAGGGAGCCATACATAAATAAAATGAGAAAACTGGAAAAACCTAGACCAGACTGACATCAAACCAGTCCTCAGCATCTTGGTCATGGGACCCTTGTTGGGTACTGAAATCCATAATTCTCATGTTCCTCATGTAAATGGCATTTCATACAGCCTGTGCGAGCTTTTCTGTATACTTTGAATAGCTGCTGCATGACTTATGATATCTAAATAGTTTTTATATGATATTGTTTAGACAATTATGACAATAAAATGTCTATACATTTTCAACACTTTTTACAAATTTTCAATCTGTGGTTTATAGATATGGAACCCAGGAATAAAAAGGCTGATGGTAGTTATTTTGTCATTATTTCTTCTGGGTTTCAAATGATACCTATTTGTTACCCTTGGGATATTCTATGAAAAAATATTTTCACCGGACATTTATTGCAAATGTTGCATCTGATATTCTTTTGTAAAGATTTTTTATATTTTCAACATTCTGAAGATTCAGTAATCCAATCTATAGTAAAGAAACATTTATAATTGCAGTTAATCCACTTAACACAATAATTTGCAATCTTATTTGACCATGAATTTTTTACTGAATCATTTAAAATTTGAAGTTTTAAAATAAGTGAATCATTATATCTATGATTTTTTAATAAAGCTCTTATAGCTAAAAAAAATCAGAGTATTGAGATGTAATTGTTTCCCAATGAGACTTCTTTAAGTCATTGAGGAGATCATGGTTTTAGACAGGATACTTAGAAAATCTATGCTATTTTGCAGGAGAATAAGCAAGGAAGGGAGTGTGGGAGATGTATAGTAGGAGGTGAATTTTAGAGTTCTCACACAGACCCTAAAGTTAAAAGTTTAAAAATATGTGTAGTAATTCAAGTTAAAACTGATGTTAGAGGTAAATTCTGCAGTAGTCACAAATTTTCAAACATATTTTATTTTCAGGTATTTCAGGAGACTGGAAGAATCAGTTCACTGTAGCTCAGTATGAGAGATTTGAAGAAGACTATGAAGAGAAAATGAAAAATTCCTCACTGAAGTTTCGATCAGAAATCTGATTTTTTTCTTCATTTCCTTTAGGTCACCAAAAAATCAAAATTTTGTAAGATCTTAATAAAATCTTTGATTTCTGTTTGTTACATGCATAGAATGATAGCAGTATAAAATCAAAGACTTTTTATAAGGAGTTCATTAGAATGAATTTCCATAGGTAAAATCTTGACTAATTTATTAATCATAGTAATTTACTCTTATTGTCTGTAACAAAAATAACAAGAATAGAGTACTCAATAAATTTGTTACCAAAGCATTGTTTGTATTGTGATGAAGAGAAAAATCAGCAGTTTGTAATCATGCTATAAAACTAATCTAAATTTAATACTTCCTATAAATAAATAATTTCCCTTAGGGAAACAAAACAAAACATGGGTCCTAAATCCTAGAAAATTTGGGAAAGGTTGATGTGTAACTCACTGTTCCTGTTTCTGGAGTAAAAATGTCTTATATATACAATTTAAAGGAGAAAAAGGTTTATTTGGCTGATGATTTCAGAGGTTTCAGTCCATGAATATCTTGGCTCCAAAGCAGTAATGTCATGACTGAAAAGCGTGGTGGAGCCAATCTGTTTACTTCATGGCCACTGGGAAGCAGAGTACAGGGAAGAGCACAAACTGAAAGACACCCTAGACCAGATATGGTCCAAAGGTCCCATCTTCATGATCTTCCAGACTCACCCAGGAGCATGTGTTACTAATCTCATTGGTGTCTCAATCTAGTCAAATTGACAATGGAGAGTAACTGTCAGAGTTAGGAAAAAGTAGAAACATGGAGAACCTGTACCATCTGTTCAATTTTTCTGTGAACCAAAATTACTGAAAAAAATAGTCTATTAATAAGACTTTAATAGAGGAATAATTATAACAAGAACATTAAGAAACATTCAAGTGTAAATAAGGATGAAAATTTATAATATATAATGCGAAATAGGAAGAAAATGTCCAAAGGGGAAGGGGGAGTGGAAGGGGTAGGCGAAAGGAAGGAATGGAAAGGAATAAATAGGAAAAAATGGAAACAAAATCTTTGTAAATTGGGAGGGATGGAGGGGTTGAAAGAAGGCCAGGGGAATGGGCAAAAAATAAGAACCAAGAGAGTATGTAAAGGTGACTATCTCCAATGATGAATATCATCATATTTTATACCTAAAATGTACAAATAAAATGAATGAATAAAAAAATGGAAAAAGAGATTAAATAGACATTTCTCCAAGGAAGATATACAAATGAGTAATAAGCATATGAAAGATGCTCAACGTTATTAGGATGAAATGAAAAAATGAAAATAAAAATCACAATGAAATACCACTTCGTACTGAGTAGGATAACTAAAATAAAGACATAATACATGGTAAAAAAAAAGAAACATTCACAATACTAATAGCTGATATTTACTGACGTTTATATGCATCATGAACTTACTGTATAGGTTACATGGTGATACTCTGATTATTGAATTCTTTAAGATATGTGTGCTAACTTGCTACAAAGTACTTTTATTTCAGTACTTATTTGCAGTGCTTATAAAAGTGAAAAAGTTACTTAAAAATCTAAGAAATACAAACTCTTCTTTGCTTGCTCAATCATGTTCTAAGTTTTCAAGTTTATCATATAAGAAAAGTTTTTGGTGTAATTTGGTATAAATTTTTTATTCATTTTATACTTTTGCAGTGTAATATACATTACTCATATTACATTTTTATATTTCTTACAAAGCAGCTCAAAACCCCAAATTCTGCTCCCCAGTTTTTAAAAAGTGGTTTGTATACATTATTTTATCATCAGGGATTTAGCTCAGTGGTTTGGCCACCTGCCTTCAAGTGTAAGGTCCTCAGTTCTATCCCCAGTACCAAAAAAAAAAAAAAAAAGCCCAACACCCCCCCAAAAAGAAAAAACATTATTTTATTCAGTAAAATCTTATAAACATGAAATTATTTCTAAATTTTTCAAAATGCTTTCTCTTTTTTTTTCACTTTTACCTCTGTTTCAGAACTCTCTGACTTTCTCATTCATTGTTAAAATATAATTTCTCTGAAATCATACAATTGACAGGTACTGTTTTCCAAAGAAAATCAGTAATTGGAAAGGACACCTACAGAGAAAAATAAAACAACAAAATAATAAGTTATTTTAAAATTCTACAATTCTTTTAAGTACTTTTCAGTGACATAATGGGAAAACTTCTATGTTTAAAGATTATAACTAATCTTCACCTCTTCAAATGTAAAAATTCTTCCTATATCAGGGCCTTATCTTTTTTTCATTAAGTTTATTGGTACAGAGAAACTAAAACTGTGAACAAGTATCAGAATGTATAATTGATAATGTGAAATAGGAAGAAAAGTTCTAAAGGGGTAGGTGAAGTGGGAGGGGTACGGGAAAGGACAGAAAGGAAAAGAAAAAATATGAGAAAAGGAAAAAATGGAAACAAAGTCTCTTAAATAGGGAGGGGTGGAGGGGTTGAAGGGAGGGCAGGAGAATGGGGAAAAATAAGAACCAAGTTATATCATGTAAAGGTACAAATTCCCAATGATGAATGTAACAGTATTGTGTACCTAAAATCTTTACAAAGTTAATGAGACATATAACATCCTACTGTCTGGAAAGTATAATATTTTGGAGTGCACTGAAAATAAAACAAGTTAGAGAACCACTGTCAGTTTTCCTGCCTTCCTAGACCCCTGTCCTCTCTCTTCATAATATGTGGGAATAGATCTTTTGCAAACATGAAAGGGTCCAAAGGGCCTAGAACGAGAGGAGGGGTGTAACAGAGGGGAAGGAACAAGATTTCAGATGTCATGTACATGTACAAAATACTCATGGTTAATGTAAACATTTTACGTCATACACATGAACTAAAAATAACAACAGTGATAATAATGAACATGGGGAAAGGAGATCTAGAGCTGAAAGTAGGGAAGTTAGTGGTGAGGGGAAGAAAAGTAAACAGGAATCACAATGTACCTACTCCCTAAGATGAATATAAACTTCATGTATTTGCAGACATGTACTAATCAACTCTTGATTTTAGCCTAAAGGCCGAGAAGCCATAAACATGTACTAATCAAATAAAATATTTCAAAAGACCATTTGAGAACCTTTGCATAATTCCTTAGAGTTTAATGTGACATACTTTAAAATTTTGTAAAATTTACAAGTCCCTTAACTTTCTTAGGTTTAATGATCTTAGAATTTCTAAAATTTAACTTAGAAAAGAATACTTATCAGAAAAACTATAGTAATTACAGCTAGAAATAAAACCCAGCATACAAAACTCTCTCATGGAGCATTTGAAAAGACTCTGAGGCTCTGTGAAGATGTATGGTAAGGGGAAGCATCAAAGTTACTGGGTACTGAAGGCTCACATTCACCTGACCCTGAACCCTTGGGTATAGAGAGGCCATGAAAGTATGAAGAGGTCTATGAAAGTATTGAGAGTCAGATGGTGTCCACTGAGAAGTTTGAAAAGACAAACACAGGAATTTGCTTCAATTTCTGGCTGATCTTGACTGAACACATGGTATGGCCAAGGGCAATGGAATGATGGAGTGATGGTAGTGTTGGAACTGTTCACAAACGGGGGAGTATTTGACCTTGTAGTAACAGGAAGGGGACTTTTGGTTCACAGCAAGGATGGTGAAATAATTCCATACCAAGAGAAAAACATTATAAAAGTAAAGACAAGCATACAAGAGATACATAAGTTTGGAATATGGCTGGACACTAGTGTGGCAGTTGGAGGAAGTGTTGGGAGTCATAATGGAGGTGGCTACTGAGGCAATTTTGTGAAGTATCCCAAATATGAACTTAAATGTAAAGAAGACTGGGGACCATTGATTGCTTATGAGGAAAAATAAGAACAAATATGATATTGATGAATTGTGTATTGATGCAAGATGTCTTCTGAAATCACTTTTGAAGAATGGTTTGGATTGACAAGGCAAAATTCTTTAACTTTCCAATTTGGTTTTTGGATTGTAAACAAGGGATATTCCATTCTTCCAGTTTGTGTTCAAAAAATGTAGATTATGGGGTCTGAACTTAGGATGTAGACACTGAGAATATTTTTTTGACAAATTATACATCATTTTATTGTTGAGAGAATTCATTCCAAGCCTGATGGAGTTAATCACAGCATTTGGGCTACATTATATAGGTATAATTATCTTTCTCCAATAAAGGGCTGATGCTCTGGCTCATCTGGAATTATTTCTGCTCCAATATGAATCAATACATCCCTTGATTGGTCAGGTTCCAAATCATGCTGAATGACAAGTATATATGTGGGGCTTCATATGTGAGTATGTGTTCAGACATCCCACACTTTCACAGATTGGATTCCCAGCAATAACCCCTGAGACGTATGACTTTATCATTTTGCATTAACATATAGAAAAGCATTCTGAACATATGAGACCTAGCTTACAAATAATTGTTCACTCACTCTTGATTAGTTGTTAAAAACAATGATAACAGCCCTGCTGGCACTTCATGTGGCTACAGCAGTCAAGGATTCTCTTCCTCACACACAATGGTTTATAAGCATTGCTTATTCATAGATCCCAGGAACATTTACTTTCTCACTTAATAAAAGTGGTTTTTGTCTAAAATTTTTACTTTGCATGAAGCAATATTTCAACTTGAATACATACAAGCCAGAAATAAAGAGCTTTGACTGAGCCATGATCACAGTAAACCTGAAACTAAATAGTAAGTATCAGATAGTAAATGATTCTAAACAGATATAGACAATTTGAAAAATCTGAAAATACAAGTATGATTATTTTCTTTTTCCATAGTCCAAATTATGTGTCAGCTGAGCATTTACAGGTTCATTTTCAACATCTATCCAGAGAACAATGTTAAAATATAATATTAATACAAAGAAAACAAGAGGATAGAGAGATTAGGAAATAAAATCATGTGTAACTTTGTCATGATGCAAGTCAGGGGGCCAAAGCTCAGTACTTCATCAGCCCCATTCACTCTCCCTCTCTCCTTGTCAC